ATGGAGTCTATGATGCCATTAAAATCTCCAGTACCGAAATTATCCTGGATTGAGAGCTCTTGTTAGTGGCCCTAAACTTTTGGTGCCCAACCACCAACTTGATGATTCTCCCGTTCGGCCCCATGAACCCCATCATCCTTGACATTTCAACATTTTTGCATTACTCAACACGTCCCTAGTTGGCCTCCCATAGATGTTTTGTTAGACCTACAACTGATTAGTCTTTGCCAAGGATCACAAATAACATACACACACACACACACACATATATATATATATATATATATATATATATATTTGAGGAGTTTAAGTATGATCATACTTGAGGATGCCATGATACAAATAGCAAAACAGCAAACACAGAGAGTCTTCTACTCACTGAGGAACCTGATATCAAAACCCTATCAATAGTTCTAGATCTTGTTTTGACGTTATCTTCCCATGAGCAGGGACACCTCCTATATAGACTTATAACCCCAACTGCATCCCAACTATCGTGGGATCGTCAAAGCCTGAAAACCGGCCTCCACGTTTGTCAGTTGTTAAACCACAACTGAAGCACGCATTTAGTGTCTTACAAACAAGGGATTTTATCCTTTAAATGGTTTTGACTTCAATTAATTAATTCCACATATGATAGTCCTTATAATGCTCAATGACAATTCAATAGAGTCCTAACATTCTTCCACTTGAATTATCACTGATCGTAACCTTTATCAACGTATTGAATCAAATTAATCCCTTAGTGATCACTTTTGTCAACACAACCATTAATCCCTTTGCATATCTGCCATAAATTATTTCAAAGAAATGAACCTTAGAAAATCTTATACATCAACTCGTACAAGCACCCTAAGATCACATCACCCAAAATAACTTATGCATGATATAAGTACCGAAACAAATTCAAAGCTTTGTTTCCAAGCTCCTACTAATCAGAGCAGTCCACCATTGTCAAGCTTTTGTTAGCTCCAATGGAATGCTTATGATACCAAGCACATTTAGTATGAATCTTTCATCAGTCCACAATATTTCAATATATTGCATACATATATTTGTACATATACACAATAGCTGAAATAAAACCTCAACTGTTAACATGGTAAAATTCAAGAGTACATGAATTCAAGCTTTATTTTTTAACAAAAGATGAAATCAAATGAAAGATAACTCTTACTTCCATACAGTAGCTGAATCAAATGATTCAACCACGCCCATGTTTGCCACATGATTCTTGAAAACTCCCACTGCCAAAGGTTTTGTAAGAGGATTAGCCAACATTAGAGTGGTGTCAATGTGTTCTATAAACACCATTCCTGCCTTCACCTTCTCCTTAACTAATTGATACTTGACATCCATTAAACGAGCTGCATAAGATTTCTTGTTGTTTTTAGAGAATAACACAGCAGCTTTGTTGTCACAGTATATTACAAGTGGTTTTGCAATTGTGTCAACTATCCTCATTTCTAAAATAAGATTCTTGAAAACTCCCACTGCCAGAGGTTTTGTAAGAGGATCAGCCAACATTAGAGTGGTGTCAATGTGTTCTATAAACATCATTCCTGCCTTCACCTTCTCCTTGACTGATTGATACTTGACATCCATTAAACGAGCTGCATAAGATTTCTTGTTGTTTTTAGAGAACAACACAGCAGCTTTGTTGTCACAGTATATTACAAGTGGTTTCGCAATTATGTCAACTATCCTCATTTCTGAAATAAGATTCTTTAACATTATGGCTTGTTGGGTTGCTTCAAAACATGAAATATATTATGCCTGCATTGTTGAAGTAGCCAAAATCTTCTGCTTTGCACTTCTCCAAGAAATAGCACCTTCAGCCGTTAGAAAAACATACCCACTCGTTGATGTTCGATCATCTTCACATCCTGCAAAGTCTGAGTCACAATGACCAATCACCTCCAACCTTTCAGTCTTACCATATACTAACATGTAGGATTTGGTCATGTGCAGGTATCGAACAACCTTCTGGGTAGCAGTCTAATGATATTCCCTTGGGTTTGCTTGGAATCTCCTAAGCACACTAACTACAAAAGCTAAATCCAGCCTCGTACAAACTTGGGCATACATTAAACTTCCAACAAGTGAAGCATAGGGTCTGTTGGACATGCTTTGCTTTTCAATATCATTCTTAGGACATTGAGACTTGTTAAACTTGTCTCCTTTGCTCATTGGGGCTTCACCTTTTGCACAACTCTTCATATTAAATCTTTTTAGGACCTTTTCTATATAAGATTTCTGCATGAGCCCTAGTAAGCACCTTTTCCTGTCCCAAATTATTTCTTTTCCAAGCATGAAAGTATTATCACCTATGTCCTTCATTTCGAAAGTATTTGACAGCAGCCTTTTGGTTTCTATTAGCAAGTTTAGATCATTACTTGCTAACAAAATATCATCGACGTACATGACAAGGAAAATAAACTTGGAACCACACACCTTGAGATACAAACAATCATCGATTTTGTTCTCAATAAAACCAAAACTAGTGACTTTTTCATCAAACTTCATAAAACATTGTCTTGATGCTTGTTTCAACCTGTAGATTGATTTCCTTAGTTTGCATATCATGTGCTCCTTGACCTCATCAATGAAACCATGTGGCTATACCATGTGAATATTTTCATTGAGAACTCCATTAAGGAACGTCGTTTTAACGTCCATTTAGTAAAGCTCAAGATCAAAATGTGCAACTAGGGCAAGAATGACTCGAAGTGAGTCTTTTGATGAAACTAGGGATAATGTGTCCGAGTAATCCAAACCCTCATTTTGTGTGTAACCCTTTGCAACGAGCCTTGCTTTATACCTTTCAACTTCCCCACTAGAGTCATGTTTTGTCTTAAAAACCCATTTGCATCCTATGGGTTTTATAAATTCGCCTCTTTCCACCAATTCCAAACTTCATTGAAGTACATCGAACCCATTTCATCCTTCATTGTAGCCTTCCAATCATTAGCTTTATCACAATTAATTGCTTGATTGTATGTGATTGGATCATTGTCAATTCCTTCCTCATGCTTAACCTCTCCCACATATACTAAGTAGTCATTCAAGAATGGACACCTCTTATTTCTTTGTAGCTGCTTCCTTTGCATTGGAACTTGCTGCATGGTATTTTGTTGAGTATTATCTTGCATTTCTAATATTTTTGGCTGCACGTCTTCTAATTCATGCTGATCTATGCAATCAGTATGACTTAGAATTCCCACGTCCCCAAAATCAATTGTGCCAGCATGCATTGGAATTCTTTGAAAGATGACGAAACAATCAAATCTTCTTCAAAAACCACTTCCTTCAAACCTTCATTGCTAGATTGTTGATCTTCAATGAACCTAGCATTATTAGTTTCAAAAATCCTTGTGGATAAACTCAGTGATAAGAATCTGTACCCCTTTGATTTTTCTGGAAAACCAATGAAATGGCAAGTCACTGTTCTTGGATCAAGCTTCCTTTTTGTTGGATTATACATCTTTGCCTCTGCCAAACAACCCCACACATAAAGATGGTTGAGGCTTGGCTTCCTTGATGTCCACAACTCAAAAGAAGTTTTATCACTAATTTGCTCGATACACTGGTTTGAAATATAGTTTGTCATCTTAAGTGCTTCTCCCCACAAGAACATTGGCAGATTAGTCCTGCTCATCATGCATTTTGCCATTTCTTTCAAAGTTATGTTCCTTCTCTAGGCCACACCATTTTGTTGTGGTGTGCCGGGAGTAGTGTACTGAGCTTGAATGTCATTTTCCTCCAAGTATCTTGCCATTGGACCATTTTGTTGCCTTCCTCAGTGTACTTGCCATAATACTCCCCACCACGGTCCGACCTCAAAATTTTAATTGATGTTTCTAGTTGCTTTTCTACCTCATTTTGATAAGTTTTAGAACAACTAACCACTTCATTTTTCTCATATATTGAGTAAACATAAGCATATCGAGAAAAATCATCAATAAAAGTCACAAAATAGACATTTTTGCAAATAATTTTAGTGGGGAAAGGACCACAAACATCTGAATAAATTATTTCCAAGAGTTTTTGACTCCTTGTTGATCCAAGTTTCTTTGTGTTTGTTAATTTACCCTTCCAACAATCAACACAGTTTTGCAGGTCAACAAAGTTTAACCTTGGCAGTAGGTTCTCTTTAACTAGAAGTTCCAATCTCTTTTGACTTATGTGTCCAAGCCTCCTATGCCAAAGCATAGAGGACTTTTCATTAACCAATGATCTTTTACTTTTAAGAACTGACGACACTTGCATGCAATTTGGAATTGTAACAACATCACAATGTAATCTTCATAAATCATTTTCCAATAAACAAATACCAAGTAAAAGATTGAGATTACATTTCTTGAAAATCCTTATACTTTCATCTTCTCCAATGAAAGCATAACCAGTCTTTACAAGCTTAAAAGCTGAAATTAAACTTCTAGTTAAACTAGGAACATAAAGAACATCTAACAATTCTAATTCGAAATTAGTTGACAACTTGAGCTTTAGAGTGCCTATCGCCTCCACAGCCACCTTATTTCAATTTCCTATGGGAACTTCATAGACTTCATTTCTTGCAAATTCCCTTCTTGTGTATCCCTGCAATGAATTGGTAATATGCACCGAACAACCAATGTCAAATCACCAAGAATTTGGAGGGACTTCAACAAGATTGATATTAACACAAACACAAACATTTTCAGTTTTATTTTCCCACTTCTTCGTTTTGGACAGTCCATTTTGAAATAATCATATTCCTTGCAAAAATAACACTTAACATTTTCCATATGCACCCTAAAACCTTGCGGTCCCTTGGAGGAAAGAGTATCATTTCCAGCACAGTGATGAAAGTTAAAGGGTTTGCTTGGCTTACTAGAAAACACAGTGTGCTTATTGCCTTTGTCTGTGCTCACCACATTAATGGCCTCTTGTTTTCGTTTCATCTTTGCCTCATTTTGGACATAAATTGAAATCAAATCATTCAAACTCCATTTTTCTTTCTAAGCATTGTAGGATGTCTTCAACTGCTCATAACTCTCAGGAATAGAGTTAAGAGCCATATGAACCACAAAAGAGTCATCAATAGGCACTTCAAGATCACTGAGCTTTGCCACTGCATTAACCATTTTCAACATGTGCTCCCTAACTGTGTGACTTTCATCAAATTTCAGAGTAGTCAAGGTTGTCATAAGGTTTCCTATCTCTCTTTTCTCATAGACCTTGAACTTTGCCTCAATGCCTTCGAGGAAATTTTTTGCTTTGTCATTCACAGGCAGTCCCCCTCTCACAGCTTCCCCAATTGATCTTTTTATCACAAGTAATGCCATGTGATTAGCTTTTTCCCATTTTTCAAATTTCAACCTTTGAGCAACTGTGCTAGTTGCATCCATTAGTGCTGGCTCATCTTCTTTGAGTGCCAAATCAGTCCATCAGTCCCAAAATAATCTCAGCATCTTGTCTCCATTTTTTGTAATTTCCTCCATTGAGCGGCTCGATAGAGGAAAAATTCAAGGACATGGGATTCACTGAGGATGCCACTACAATTTGTTAGTGAAATAAACAATGAAAACAGCATGCAGTACAAGGTATCACCTTTGGGCAAGAAACACTTTACTACCAGTTTCATTAACATAGCTACTTAATTTACTATTAAACACATTCATAACTCAGGTCTTTGGACAAGAATTAGATTAATTTAATATACTCCCTTTTTGAAGAGAGCAGTATGTATGTTATGATAAATGAATTACAATATCCTGCAACCTAATTCATGCAACAATGCTTGACAAAATCCCATTTTGACGTGATCTTCTAAGCAATTGTGCATTGGTGCAAAGTCATGTTCCCTTAAAATTCTTCAACTTTGTTCTGCAAGTACTAAAGGTTATATGTGATATGTTTAAACTAAAAATAGTTTTGAATCCAAGTAGACTAACCTTGCTCTGATACCAAATGTTAGACCTACAACTGATTAGTCTTCGCTAAGAATCACAAATAACACACATACACACATACACATATATATATATATATATATTTGAGGAATCTAAGTATGATTATACCTGAGTATGCCATACAAGCAGTAAAACAACAACACAGAGAGTCTTCTACTCACTGAGGAACTTGATATCAAAACCCTAGTGATAGTTCTAGATCTTGTTTTGACGTTATCTTCCCGTCAGCAAGGACACCTCCTATATAGACTTATAACCCCAACTGTATCCTAACTATCTTAGGATCGTTAAAGTATAAAAACCTACACGTTTGTTAGTTGTTAAACAACAACTGAAGCAATCATTTAGTGTCCTACAAACAAGGGATTTTATCCTTTAAATGGTTTTGACTTTAATTAATTAATTCCATGTATGATAGTCCTTATTATGTTCAGTGACAATTCAATAGAGTCCTAACATGTTTCTCTCTCGACCTACCAATATGTCTAGACCTAAAAGCCATCTTCGACAAGATGGCTTTGAAGGGCTCAAAGCGAGGATGAAAATAAAGATTGGTTGAAGGACGCGATCACCAAATAGGCCAAGAGCTTCCTCAACAATAATACTTTGATTACGAACTTCGATGACAAAGAAAACAAGCCTATAAAAAAAAGGTGAACACAAGGCTTTTCTCATTTACTGGTATAACACATTCATTTTTTGTCAAAGTTCAACATTCCTGATCGAGAACATGCTCATGGTCGAAGTGCTGGCAAGCAGTCAAAACTTGGCCTTTAGCTCATCAATCCTCACCCATCTCTATCGTTGTTTATTTGATATAACTACCAAATAAATGGAGCCACACCAGCATGGGCCGCTCTTGATTTTTTAGATGTAGCTCCAAACTTACTCTACTCCACTTCTATCAAGTTGTCCTAATTTCAAGATAATGAAGCCATAGGCTTCCAGTTAGCGGCGCTCTTCCTCCAAGACATTCGACGTACGTAATATTTTACCATTTCTTTAGCCTCGAAATGAAATCACAATCTTCCATAAAAGACCATACCTATCTACAATGATCTTCCGTGCTTGCAATGGGACCAAACGGAAGACGCCGAACTTCAGCCTAATTCTCCTCATGCGTGACATTTAGTTCGACTGTGAGCTTAGCCAGTCAAGCTATGAGATCTATATGTTGAATTTCCTCACACGTCAACATGGATATCGCCAAGCCTATCTAGTTCCATTAATCTCACAATCCGCAATCGCCTTGGACAAATGTGAGGCGGCCACCAAATTTGACGCCTCTAGTGAAAACTTCAACTAGAGATGCACTTGGTTCAAACTTTAGCCACGTTTCCCCAACACAGATATCGTTTACAATTTCACATAATGGTAGTAAAAATACACTGGTGAATTGTTCGACGCTGATGCTGAGGAATTGTACGTCCAAACATCAATATATATATACACACACACACACTAAAATATATCCTCTTTTATAAATAAAAAATTATTATTATGAAAAAAAATAAGAATTTTTTTTTTTTTAGGTATGCACAGCTCTACATACAGTGTATGTTAGACTATCTCTCCAACTTGGCTGTTTTTCTTCTTATTGGCGCCGAAAAAAGATCACCGAGGTAAAAGCTTCAGTAGCTAAGAAGACCAACTGCGAAGAGAAAGAGGCCTATTATTGTTTCGGCAACTGGCAATACCTCAACCAAATTTTAACCAACCACGTCTGCGAAGACAACAAATTAAATCAATGAGGCTTAAGCAACAGTGGTAGTCTCCAAGCCTATTACCACCAAAAAAAAAAAAAAAAAAAAAAGGCCTCATGACACATGGATGGAGTGACCAAAAACCCTAGCATCAAATTAACCAAACAAATGCCAAAATGGCTAAAGATGCTGGCAAACATGGGTCGCAACATGGTTTCTAACGTTTCAAAAAGTCAGGATACTCAATCGACCTCGCCTGCAAAAGAAGTTGGCCAAGACCTTCGAGAAAACAAATCGTCCACTGCTGAGAAAAAACATGCTGCTGAAAACTCAATCACCAAAGGAACTCCTGTCGAGTGAGTTATTGCCGAAGGAAATCGCCGAGTGGGAAGGTGTAGCTGAAATTAATCATAATCCTTGAACAATCCTACTTCATCTAGGACTCGGTCATGCCACCAACAATACATTACTTGGCCCAGACTCAACCTTCTTTCTAGACTGTCAACCAACTTGGCCCAAACCCAATATTTCAGGCCCAAACACCAATATAGATTTATTGGGGCTATTAACATAACTTAAGACTAATTTTCACTAAAAACTATTTGGGGCCAAAGCCACTTTCGGCCTAAACGTGTCTCTACGATTGGCCGAATGGGTTGTGGTGTGAATAGGTACGTTATTCAAGAAATGTTCACATGGCAATTATTTATTGGACGGGTAGTACATTTTTTAAATACGTGACAAATATTTATTGAACAATGACGATTGATGACACTAAAACTAAATCTCAGTTGCATGAGAAAATCTTCTCCTATTAGAGACTTTAAAATGATGATGTGTTTGAGCAACCTAGAAGAGCCCAGACTAAAACCCATCTCTTAGAGCTTAGTTGCATGGGCAAGCAGAGAAGTTAAAATCCCTTTAAAAACCAACTAAACTAATATAACCAAGTACCAAGTCAAACCATTTAGCAATCCATAACCAAGGTGAATTGAAATCCATATAAATTTAATTTAAGCATAGATGGAATCTAACCCTTTTGAGCTCATGGAGGAAAAAGAAGAGGAAGGAAGCTCTTTATGAAGGCCAGTTGCAAGAAGACTGGTATTGAAATATCTTTTGGTTAGCACTTGAGAGCCAACTCATATCACCAAGAAAGGCTTCATATGGGAAGAAGTGAGGTGAAAAGCAAATAAAACACTTTTCTATGTCGAAAGAATCCAAGGTGAATGAGAATTGGATGTCCACCGGTTGCAGGACCAACTAGGAGAAGTCATACAACATTATTGAGAATTGACTACTTGCAGAATCCATTGTGATAGCTTTATTGAGAATTGGATGTACACTGGTCGCATAACCAACTAAAGTGCACCTAGCATACAAAAACAAAAGTTAAGGCCCAAAACTAGAAACAAACAAATAGAAAAACCAAGAAAACTGCTGCCAACGCCGCCGTAATAGTACCCTACCCCAAGATCAACACGAACCACAACCATCAACAAGCGATGGAAACCCAACAAAACAGCGCCACATATATGCAAAGACAGAAGACCCCATAGTCCAGCAGAGAGCATCTCGCCGATCGCAGCCACCAAGCTGCACTACCAATAACGGTAGATAGAGAAAACATGGTCGTGTGACTACCAGAGCCATATTCAACTAAACAATACGGGATAGTGAGTTTTTCCAAACTTTTAATTACGGGGTTTTTCTTGCTCGTTTACCTACTCAAACCCAAAGGTCGACTCATTTTATCTTTCACGAGGACGCGCTCTTATTTCCAACAAAAGTAGGGTACTCTTTGGGCCAACGTGGGCTTTTAGTATTCTTTGAGCCCAAATAAAGAAGCTGTCCGCAGCCTAAGGCAGCCCACACACTCAAACGGCCCAATTCATACCAAATCGTGTGACCATTTACCAATGGATAAAACCCTAGCACGACGCCGTTCCCTGGCGCAGCTTCTCCTTATAAAAGTTGAGGCAGCCAGAAAACCCTAGCCGAAACCCTAGGAGAGAGCGAGAGCGAGCGAAGATGAAGTACAATCCCCGCGTCACCAGCTCCCGGCGGAAGAACCGCAAGGCTCACTTCACCGCGCCGTCCAGCGTGCGCCGCGTGCTGATGAGCGCCCCTCTCTCCTCCGACCTCCGTTCCAAGTACAACGTCCGATCCATGCCGGTGCGCAAGGACGACGAGGTCCAGGTGGTCCGCGGGACCTTCAAGGGCCGCGAGGGCAAGGTTGTCCAGGTCTACCGCCGCAAATGGGTGATCCACATCGAGCGAATCACCCGCGAGAAGGTCAATGGCTCCACCGTGAACGTCGGAATCAACCCATCCAAGGTGGTCGTCACCAAGCTCAGGCTGGACAAGGACCGCAAGTCTCTGCTCGACCGCAAGGCCAAGGGCCGCGCCGCTGCTGACAAGGACAAGGGTACCAAGTTCACCGCCGAGGATATCATGCAGAACGTCGACTGATTTCAGTTGGGTATCTGATTTTGGTAGAGAAACTAGCAACTTTCATATGAGCTTTTATTGTAAGCACTTTTATTTTGATTATGCATTGATGGATTTGGGACAAGGGTTTTGTGCTGCATTTTCAATGCCATTATATTTTGTTATCTGTGGTAATGTTTTTCGTTTTATAATATTCTGTGCTCATAATTTGTTATGGTTGTTTGATATGAAGTTTATGCCCACATGAACGTTAGGATTCCTGTTATGTTCAATAGAGTATGTGACTACGTTCCTTTTGGCGATGATCGAGATTGTTTAGTTCGATTAGGACTGGATTAGGGCTGGTTTGGGAAAATTGGTTATTACTCTAAGTATACAGTTGCATTAGCTCCAAATTGTGAAGTTGATGTTCTCATTTGTATGTGATTGCTATCATTTTAGTATGATATTGAGGTCTCATTATCCCGATTTAAACTCTTTATGCCGGCAGGCAGGGGATATGTGTAGGTTTTGATGCTTGATGTAGATACCGAATAATTTGTACAAGGGTTGTGGTTCAGTTTCTTCGCCGTAACAGTTTTTGAGCATATGCTCTTCGTGCTTCGTCTTTTGGATCGTGTGTGGTTCTATGTATGCGTTATATAGAACTCGTCTCTCATAAGTTATAAGACATAAGAAGTAGATTATTGCTTTGAACTGTAATGAAATTTCAGCATGTCTTGAGCATGTTCTGGGTTCATTAGTTTTGCAACAATTCGGTAGCTACCAAGTTTTTTATGCTTTTGCTTTTCTCGCACTAATCGCTTCACTTTTCTTAGTCCGATCTTACTTCGGCATTGTAGCGGAGATTGGTATTAAGTAATTGGATTAATAGTCCGTGTGGTGATAGGACAGGTTCAACATGGTTCCACTTCATTTGTGTCATCGGCTGAATTGTTGCCAACGTTTTTCAGCCTTTGAAAATTATTTGTTTGATTTCCGCTCTTAGTTGCTGGAGTTGTAGGACGGATTCAACATTGGGATTGGGATTTTGGTACAAAATGCAACAAGTATGTTGTATTATACGGTTAGATAGGTTGTAATGAGATCAAAGGAACATATTTGACTGTTTGATTATGTTACTAAGTACTTGTAAGTGTTGCAGTCAGTCCCAAAATTGAAAGTCACTTTGGACTAGTGTTTAGTGATTTTCCTTTAGATTGTAAGTGGGAGGGGTTTATGCTCGAATTTCGTTGATGACAAGTCCAATATCAATTCATTATAGTTGGCCTGATGTGTAACTTAGTCTAAATTTTTTACAACCTTATTGTAAATATGTTTTTTAATTAAAAAAATTAATTGAAAATGTCGATTTTGAGAATTTGAGATATTAATCAACCAAAATATTGATATGACCATTGGCCTTTGATATTTAAAGAGTAAAGAAACAAAGGAATGTACATCAACATAATCGAAAATGAACGGTACATGTGAATATGTTTTGAGTTCTACCAAGTTTTCTTTTCTTTCATAATTTGAACGTTGTGACATACCTTAAACTTATCACTAGCTATGAAAATGAAGGATGAAGATGAAGATGAAGAGATCAATTAATATCCACTCTCCATCCTTTTGTGTCTGTCTCAAGACCGCATGTATTTTGATGGAGAATGGTTTTAAAGTCCTTGTCCGTATGACCATGTCGAGCCATGCCCATTCGAGTTTTGTTGGGTTCTTTGTATTTTGCAAATTGGACAAGGTGAAAAGTCGATTGCTTATGATTGTTGTGGTACTTCTCTACATTGTAATGTATTTTAACGACTCGAATCGTCTATCTTTTAGAACATCATTCATAGATCATCCTTGCAAAAAATTAAAAAATCCAAAACCACTAAGACGTTCATTTGTAGTGAAGAAAATAGACGAATACAATTCTACAAAGAAACCTAACTCTTAATCCAACGGTCATACGGTTTCTTATGTCAGTGATTTTTAGACATGATCTTTGAAGAAGTACCTAAAAGTTAGTGGTTTAGATGGTTGAAATACATTACAAAGTGAGCCTTGCAAAAAGGCATGTTTTGAATGTTGTGTTAAAAAAATGGTGACTCGGATCTATATATATATATATATATACATATATGGATATAGATATTTACCGAAACTGATTGTTTCCGTTAGGCTAAAATAGATGAGTGAAATTCTGGATCTCTTCTAAGTTTCAAGGATTCATAATCCCCCAGCTTTCATGGCCGGAAATATAATTGGAATGACCAAATTTCATTTTTCCGTCATATCCACTTTTTGCTTTTGAGTTTGGTAGGGAAATCGAACAAGTCCTTCAACGTACCAAATATGGTGTTGTGAAGCAAACTTTGTCAGACATCATTGCTACGAAACAACCGTGCTCTTCGAGCGCACTGCAAACATGTTTGCGGACTGAGAGCCAAGAACTTGTTCCTGGCTTCCAGCAGTCTGCTTTGGAGAAATGTACCACTGTACAAGTCTCTAAGCCCGTTTGTTACACCTTAGAAGTTACTGGTTTAACTAGGATTACAAGACTACGTTTGGTATGGTCTTAGACTAGAATAAATGACACTCGCAATTGAGAACGAGGTGAGCTCTGCTCTTCACTATACCCCAATGTCTAGTCCTGAGCTTTCACTTGGTATTAAGCGGGATTAAAAAGGAAACGAGGCCAATGGCCTCACCCCACCCCTTCCCCGCCTCCCTCCCTATTTTAGAGTCCACCATTGTGGAGGCTATAACTCTAAAAATGTGATGATTGTGAGAAGACAAGGTAACGGATTAAGATTAGGACTGGTCCTAGTTCAATCACTAAAACAAAGTTAACTACGTCGACCGAAACACCATGCTAATGCCTCTACAATTGAAGACTATAAAATCCTGTTAGATATGCTAAACAAAAAAGAAACTGATCATAACTGCGGCAACATAATACTCAGCAACATCAACGTTGCGTCGCATTTATAAACTCGATCGAAGCTACTCTAAGAAGGTGCACTCATGCAAACAAACAATCGCAAATCACTTGGCACAACAATATATGCAAGCAAATCTTCTATCAATCAAAATTCTATGGTTCTCCATACAAGGAGACTAGAATGTGCAACGCCTTAGCGACCTATGATTATAAACCAAAAGAATATAGAGGAAAAGAAGAAACAAAGACCACGTTAGAGGCCCAAGCCTCAAACGATCAATCCACAATCATCGCAAGATAGAAAATTGTTTCTGTGGAACTAATTATTAAGTGCTCTTATCAAGAGCCAGCCAAAAAATTGAACCAGGTATTGAATTCATTAACACCAAAGAATCAAGGCTTCAGGGCAATAGCCACTCCAAACCTGGGATTTTTGTCCAAGGCCTTGGTGTCAACCTCGCCAGATATTGTCAGCACCGACTTCGGTATGACTTCATGCTGCAGGAGGGCTCCTAGCTTTCCGTGATTGTTGAGCTTAGCTTTCACTATTGTGTAAATATCAACAGCATATTGTCCTCCCACCGTGAAAGTGTTCTCGTTCGTGGAGAACTTTCTTGTGATCTCTCCCACAGCAGCACTCCTCTTCAACAAATCCATATAATGCACATAAGATGCTCTTATACTGTCTCCCTTGTCGCCCCTGAGAGGTTAGAGAGAGAGAAAGCTGATATTAGAAACGGTTAAAACTTACAACAACGGAGTTTAAACTATTGTACATGACACAGGTTACGGTACAAAAGCTTACAAAATTATTGAAGCAGACTGATCAGGCTTTGTGATACTAATTCCAGCAGTATACTTCGTAAAGTTTCCAGAGGTAGTGTCATAACCCCCTTCTGCACCAAATGCAATGGTTGGGGTTCCAATGGTGGCTGAAAAATCAATGGCTGGGGATTGACTCAAGGCAACAGCTGTAGTGAAGGTTGCATGGTCATGGAAGTATTGAACCTCCAACTGCACAATAAAATTGAAAAATGACTATCAGATAGTAATGCACAATTCAAATGTAAACATTGCCTATCCTAAAGATCCCTGATTTTATACCTTGCCAGAGTTGAAATCAGGGGCTTTGAATGAAGCTATAGTTTTTGTGGATGGGACAATCTCATTGATCGTGAAGGTCGTCGAGATCTGCCAAAACAAAGAGAAAACTGCACATGCTTAAAAGAACAAGAGAATTGTTTGTAATATATTCACAGCTAACGACACAACCCACGTTTGATTCTGTATCAACTTTGACATCAACCACTGTGTTCTTGTACTTGTATTGTGTCAAGATGTCCCCAGTGGAAAGTCCTCCTTTCTTCACTGCTGTTGAGGTCAGGGCCTAAAGGATCCCAAAAAGACAAAAAAAACGACATTGGAACATAAACAACAATTTATATTTTCGCTTAAACAGTTAAAACAAATAAACTCACACAACAACTTCCAGGAAGGGGCACAAATAAACCAACACTACCACAATCTCAAGGTTGATCCAATAAAGGGGAAATTTTGAATTAGTCAACTTGAGAATACTCAGAAGCCAGCCATCGATTTCTAAATCCATTCTAACACAAGCTTTTAAAGCTTCAAAAGGTTATTGCTAAAGCATTTAAATTTTTAACGGCATGAATCTTAAAGCATAGCAGGAAATGGAAATTCTGAGCAATAAACATCTATTCAAATAATAAATGCCAAATTGGTAATTAAAAATGATAGATTATACAAGACATTTCAGGTGTCCCCTTCTTTTTTCTTTTCAGGAAAAAAAATATTAAGACATTGTTCATGTGCAGAAAAGTATACAAAATCTCAAGGTTTACTCTTAAAATTGTTGTACTTTCATCCATTAATCAACCGGGCCAACTGTTTCAATTCTATACCCAAATTCTGAACTCAAGTTTTGAAGCTTCAGTATGATATTACGTGAGATTAAATCACGATGAATCTAAGTAAACATAAATACCATTTCAAATATGTTAATGTAATCATAATGATTGGAATTTCAGAAATAAGATATTCACTCCAGCTTTCTAAAGAAGGAAAGAGATGGAATTTCAGAAATCATATCGTTTGATAAGTCAAGATATTCCCTTCATGTATTTCAGAGCTCACTTTTTCTATTAATTAAAAAGGTATTGAAGGTTTTACTAAGCGATTTTTCCTATGTCATTATAAGATGCAGGCACATAAAAGTCT